TCGGGCGCCCCTTGGTGGGGTTGGGGGTTTTGGGGGGGGGGGGATTTGGGGTTTTTGGGTTTTTTTGGGCGGTTTTGGGATTGCTTTTGGGGCGGGGGAGTTTTTTGGCTTTTTTTTGGGAGGTTTTTGGGAATTTTGTGATTGTTTCTGGGGATTTTTCTGGTGGTTTTGGGGTTTTTCGGGTTGTTTTGGGATTTTTTTGGGTTGTTTTTCGGGATTTTTGTGGTGGTTTTTGGGATTTTTGTGATGGCTTTTGGGGATTTTTGTGGTGGTTTTTGGGAATTTTGTCATTGTTTTTGAGACTTTTTGGGTTGGTTTTGGGATTTTTCGGGCAGTTTTTGGGATTTTTGTGGGTGTTTTGGGAGTTTTTGGGTTGTTTTGGGATTTTTTGGGTTGTTTTTGGGGATTTTTGTGGTGGTTTTGGGATTTTTCTGGTTGTTTTTGGGATTTTTTGGGTTGTTTTTGGGATTTTTGATTGTTTTGGGGATTTTTTGGGTTGTTATTGGGATTTTTTGGGTTGTTTTTGGGAATTTTGTGATTGTTTTTGAGGATTTTTGTGACTGTTTTGGGATGTTTTGGGTGGTTTTGGGGATTTTTCAGGTTGTTTTGGGTTTTTTGTGGTGGTTTGGGGATTTTTTTGGGTTGTTTTTGGGATTTTTGATTGTTTTGGGGATTTTTTGGGTTGTTATTGGGATTTTTGTGGTGGTTTTTGGGAATTTTGTGATTGTTTTTGAGGATTTTTGTGACTGTTTTGGGATGTTTTGGGTGGTTTTGGGGATTTTTCAGGTTGTTTTGGGTTTTTTGTGGTGGTTTGGGGATTTTTTTGGGTTGTTTTTGGGATTTTTGATTGTTTTGGGGATTTTTTGGGTTGTTATTGGGATTTTTGTGGTGGTTTTTGGGAATTTTGTCATTGTTTTTGAGACTTTTTGGGTTGGTTTTGGGATTTTTCGGGCAGTTTTTGGGATTTTTGTGGGTGTTTTGGGAGTTTTTGGGTTGTTTTGGGATTTTTTGGGTTGTTTTTGGGGATTTTTGTGGTGGTTTTTGGGAATTTTGTCATTGTTTTTGAGACTTTTTGGGTTGGTTTTGGGATTTTTCTGGGGGTTTTTGGGATTTTTGTGGGGTTTTTCGGGATTTTTGTGATTGTTTTTGGGGATTTTTGTAGTGGTTTTTGGGATTTTTGGGTTTTTTTTGGGATTTTTTTGTGGTGGCTTTTGGGATTTTTGTCACTATTTTGGGATTTTTCGGGTTGTTTTTGGGATTTTTGTGGCTATTTTTGGGATTTTTCTGGTGGTTTTGGGATTTTTGTGATTGTTTTTGGGGATTTTTGTGGTGGTTTTTGGGATTTTTGTGACTGTTTTGGGATTTTCGGGTTGTTTTTGGGATTTTTGGGTGGTTTTTGGGTTTTTGTGATGGCTTTTGGGATTTTTTCTGGTTGTTTTAGGATTTTTCCGGCGGGTTTGGGGATTTTTTTGCTGGTTTTTGGGATTTTTGTCATTGTTTTTGAGACTTTTCGGGTTGGTTTTGGGATTTTTCAGGTGGTTTTTGGGTTTTTGGGATTTTTCGGGTTGTTTTGGGGATTTTTGTGACTGTTTGGGGATTTTTTTGATTGTTTTGGGGATTTTTTTGGGTTGTTTTTGGGATTTTTGATTGTTTTTGGGATTTTTTGGGTTGTTATTGGGATTTTTGTGGTGGTTTTTGGGATTTTTGTGATTGTTTTTGAGACTTTTTGGGTTGGTTTTGGGATTTTTCTGGGGGTTTTTGGGATTTTTGTGGGGTTTTTCGGGATTTTTGTGATTGTTTTTGGGGATTTTTGTAGTGGTTTTTGGGATTTTTGGGTTTTTTTTGGGATTTTTTTGTGGTGGCTTTTGGGATTTTTGTCACTATTTTGGGATTTTTCGGGTTGTTTTTGGGATTTTTGTGGCTATTTTTGGGATTTTTCTGGTGGTTTTGGGATTTTTGTGATTGTTTTTGGGGATTTTTGTGGTGGTTTTTGGGATTTTTGTGACTGTTTTGGGATTTTCGGGTTGTTTTTGGGATTTTTGGGTGGTTTTTGGGTTTTTGTGATGGCTTTTGGGATTTTTTCTGGTTGTTTTAGGATTTTTCCGGCGGGTTTGGGGATTTTTTTGCTGGTTTTTGGGATTTTTGTCATTGTTTTTGAGACTTTTCGGGTTGGTTTTGGGATTTTTCAGGTGGTTTTTGGGTTTTTGGGATTTTTCGGGTTGTTTTGGGGATTTTTGTGACTGTTTGGGGATTTTTCAGGTTGTTTTAGGATTTTTTTTGGGTTGTTTTTGGGATTTTTTGGGTTGTTTTTGGATTTTTTTGGTTGTTTTTGACATTTTTTGATTGTTTTTGGGATGATTTTTTGGGGTTTTTTGGGGCTCAGCAGTTTTTGGGGTCGTTTTGGGACGGGCTTTTTTTGGGTTGTTTTTGCTGTAGGAAGGGAGGGTTTGGGGTGATTTTTGGGGTTTTTTGGGGTTATTTTAGTTTTTTTTTTTTAAACTGAAGCTGTTTTCACACAGTGACAAATTTTATTGAATTTTTTGGGGGTTTTTTTAGGGTGTTTTTGGGTTTTTTTTACAATTTTTTTTTAAACTGAGGTTGTTTTCACAGTGACAAATTTTATTGAATTGTTTTTGGGGCGATCTTTTTCCTGTAGTTGTTGGGGGTTTTTTGGTATTGGGGTTTTTTTTTGTTTTGTTTTGTTTTTGGGGTTTTTGGGTTTTTTTGGGCGGTTTTGGGATTGCTTTTGGGGCGGGGGAGTTTTTTGGCTTTTTTTTGGGAGGTTTTTGGGAATTTTGTGATTGTTTCTGGGGATTTTTCTGGTGGTTTTGGGGTTTTTCGGGTTGTTTTGGGATTTTTTTGGGTTGTTTTTCGGGATTTTTGTGGTGGTTTTTGGGATTTTTGTGATGGCTTTTGGGGATTTTTGTGGTGGTTTTTGGGAATTTTGTCATTGTTTTTGAGACTTTTTGGGTTGGTTTTGGGATTTTTCGGGCAGTTTTTGGGATTTTTGTGGGTGTTTTGGGAGTTTTTGGGTTGTTTTGGGATTTTTTGGGTTGTTTTTGGGGATTTTTGTGGTGGTTTTGGGATTTTTCTGGTTGTTTTTGGGATTTTTTGGGTTGTTTTTGGGATTTTTGATTGTTTTGGGGATTTTTTGGGTTGTTATTGGGATTTTTTGGGTTGTTATTGGGATTTTTGTGGTGGTTTTTGGGAATTTTGTGATTGTTTTTGAGGATTTTTGTGACTGTTTTGGGATGTTTTGGGTGGTTTTGGGGATTTTTCAGGTTGTTTTGGGTTTTTTGTGGTGGTTTGGGGATTTTTTTGGGTTGTTTTTGGGATTTTTGTGATTGTTTTTGAGACTTTTTGGGTTGGTTTTGGGATTTTTCTGGGGGTTTTTGGGATTTTTGTGGGGTTTTTCGGGATTTTTGTGATTGTTTTTGGGGATTTTTGTAGTGGTTTTTGGGATTTTTGGGTTTTTTTTGGGATTTTTTTGTGGTGGCTTTTGGGATTTTTGTCACTATTTTGGGATTTTTCGGGTTGTTTTTGGGATTTCCCCCCAAATTTGGGATTTTTTGGGTTGTTTTGGGGATTTTTGTGATTGTTTTTGGGATTTTTCTGGTTTTTGGGATTTTTGAGACAGTTTGGGGATTTTTCGGGTTGTTTTTGGGATTTTTCGGGTTGTTTTTGGGATTTTTGTGGCTATTTTTGGGATTTTTCTGGTGGTTTTGGGATTTTTGTGATTGTTTTTGGGGATTTTTGTGGTGGGTTTTGGGATTTTTGTGACTGTTTTGGGATTTTCGGGTTGTTTTTGGGATTTTTGGGTGGTTTTTGGGTTTTTGTGATGGCTTTTGGGATTTTTTCTGGTTGTTTTAGGATTTTTCCGGCGGGTTTGGGGATTTTTTTGCTGGTTTTTGGGATTTTTGTCATTGTTTTTGAGACTTTTCGGGTTGGTTTTGGGATTTTTCAGGTGGTTTTTGGGTTTTTGGGATTTTTCGGGTTGTTTTGGGGATTTTTGTGACTGTTTGGGGATTTTTCAGGTTGTTTTAGGATTTTTTTTGGGTTGTTTTTGGGATTTTTTGGGTTGTTTTTGGATTTTTTTGGTTGTTTTTGACATTTTTTGATTGTTTTTGGGATGATTTTTTGGGGTTTTTTGGGGCTCAGCAGTTTTTGGGGTCGTTTTGGGACGGGCTTTTTTTGGGTTGTTTTTGCTGTAGGAAGGGAGGGTTTGGGGTGATTTTTGGGGTTTTTTGGGGTTATTTTAGGTTTTTTTTTTAAACTGAAGCTGTTTTCACACAGTGACAAATTTTATTGAATTTTTTGGGGTTTTTTTTAGGGTGTTTTTGGGTTTTTTTTACAATTTTTTTTTAAACTGAGGTTGTTTTCACAGTGACAAATTTTATTGAATTGTTTTTGGGGGTTTTTTTTGGGTTTTTTTACATTTTTTTTCAAATTGAAGCTGTTTTCACACAGTGACAAGTTTCATTGAACGGTTTTCGCGGTTTTTTTAGGGTGTTTTTTGGGTTTTTTTACATTTTTTTGGTCTGAGGCTGTTTTCACAAAGTGACAAGTTTTATTGAATGATTTTTGGGGTGTTTTTTGGGGTTTTTTGGGGTGTTTTTTTGGGGTTTTTTAGTTTTTTTTTTTGGACTGAAGCTGTTTTCACACAGCGACAAGTTCCATTGAACGGTTTTCGGGGTGTTTTTGGGGTGTTCCCGGGGTGTTTCCGGGGTGTTTTTGCGCTGTTTCCGGGTGTTTTTGGGGTGTTTTCGGGCTGTTTTTGGGGGGTTTCCGGGCTGTTTCCGGGTGTTTTCGGGCTGTTTCCGGCTGTTTCCGGGGTGTTTTTGGGGTGTTTCCGGGCTGTTTCCGGGTGTTTTCGGGCTGTTTCCGGGGTGTTTTCGGGGTGTTTCCGGGCTGTTTCCGGCTGTTTCCGGGTGTTTCCAGGCTGTTTCCGGGTGTTTTCAGGGTGTTCCCGGGCTGTTTCCGGGTGTTTCCGGCTGTTTCCGGCTCTCAGGCCTGGATGCTGCTCTTGGTGCTCAAGGCCAGGTAATACACCACCAGCCCCACGGCGGCCGCCAGCGCCTCGCTCGACACCCAGGGCCCGCTCCACGCGCCCTGAGGGAGGCTCGGGCTCACCGGGGCACCCCAAAACCCCCCAAAACCCCGGTGGGGTTCAGTTTGGGGGTCCTCGTCTCCTTTTTGGGGTTCAGTTTGGGGGTCCCCTCCTACTTTTGGAGCTCACTTTTAGGGTCCCCTCTACTTTATGGGGCTCACTTTGGGGGTCCTGCCTCCTTTTGGGGTTCAGTTTGGGGGTCCCCTCCTCTTTTTGGGGTTCAGTTTGGGGGGTCTCCTGTTTTTGGGGCTCACTTTGGGGGTCCCCTCTCCTTTTTGGGGCTCAGTTTGGGGGTCCCCTCTCCTTTTTGGAGCTCAGTTTGGGGGTCCCCTCTCCTTTTTGGGGCTCACTTTGGGGGTCTCCTCCTTTTTGAGACTTAATTTGGGGTCCCCCCCTTTTTTTTCAGGCTGAATTTGGGCCTCCCCCTCCTTTTTGTGGCAGAATTTGGGGTCCCCCCTCAATTTTGGGGCTGAATTTGGGGTCCCCCCCTCTTTTTTCAGGCTGAATTTGGGGTCCCCCCTCTTTCTGGGGTCTGAATTCGGGTTTCCCCCTCAATTTTGGAGCTGAATTTGGGGTCCCCCGCCAATTTTAGGGCTGAATTTGGGGCTCCCCCCCCGCAATTCTGGGGCTGAATTCAGGTTTGTCTGCGGGGGAGGGGCGCTCAGGGGGGGCTGGGAGGGGGTCGGGGGGGCTGTGAGGGACCCCTCCCCACACCCCCACTCGCGGGGGTCTCACCTGGGCGCCGTTCTTGCAGACCAGGGAGATCTCCACCACGAAGACGCTCTCGGAGGCGATGACGGCGTCCGAGGTGGTGTAATAGGAGGGGGCGATGGTGGGCTCGGGGCACGGCTCGCCTGGGGAGGGGGCTCACCTCAGGGACCCCCCACCCAAGGGACCCCCGGAGCCCGCAGTGCCTCAAAACCCCCCTTAAAACGCCCCCTTCAATTCCCCTTCACAGGATCACAAACTCCCTCATGGAATCCCAGATATCCCCTCATGGAACCCCCGATTCCCGCTCATGGAATCCCCAATTCCCCTTCACAGGATCACAAACTCCCTCATGGAATCCCAGATATCCCCTCATGGAACCCCCGATTCCCGCTCATGGAATCCCCAATTCCCCTTCACAGGATCACAAACTCCCTCATGGAATCCCAGATATCCCCTCATGGAACCCCCGATTCCCGCTCATGGAATCCCCAATTCCCCTTCACAGGATCACAAACTCCCTCATGGAATCCCAGATATCCCCTCATGGAACCCCCGATTCCCGCTCATGGAATCCCCAATTCCCCTTCACAGGATCACAAACTCCCTCATGGAATCCCAGATATCCCCTCATGGAACCCCCGATTCCCGCTCATGGAATCCCCAATTCCCCTTCACAGGATCACAAACTCCCTCATGGAATCCCAGATATCCCCTCATGGAACCCCCGATTCCCGCTCATGGAATCCCCAATTCCCCTTCACAGGATCACAAACTCCCTCATGGAATCCCAGATATCCCCTCATGGAACCCCCGATTCCCGCTCATGGAATCCCCAATTCCCCTTCACAGGATCACAAACTCCCTCATGGAATCCCAGATATCCCCTCATGGAACCCCCGATTCCCGCTCATGGAATCCCCAATTCCCCTTCACAGGATCACAAACTCCCTCATGGAATCCCAGATATCCCCTCATGGAACCCCCGATTCCCGCTCATGGAATCCCCAATTCCCCTTCACAGGATCACAAACTCCCTCATGGAATCCCAGATATCCCCTCATGGAACCCCCGATTCCCGCTCATGGAATCCCCAATTCCCCTTCACAGGATCACAAACTCCCTCATGGAATCCCAGATATCCCCTCATGGAACCCCCGATTCCCGCTCATGGAATCCCCAATTCCCCTTCACAGGATCACAAACTCCCTCATGGAATCCCAGATATCCCCTCATGGAACCCCCGATTCCCGCTCATGGAATCCCCAATTCCCCTTCACAGGATCACAAACTCCCTCATGGAATCCCAGATATCCCCTCATGGAACCCCCGATTCCCGCTCATGGAATCCCCAATTCCCCTTCACAGGATCACAAACTCCCTCATGGAATCCCAGATATCCCCTCATGGAACCCCCGATTCCCGCTCATGGAATCCCCAATTCCCCTTCACAGGATCACAAACTCCCTCATGGAACCCCCAATTCCCCCTCATGGAACCCCCGATTCCCGCTCATGGAATCCCCAATTCCCCTTCACAGGATCACAAACTCCCTCATGGAATCCCAGATATCCCCTCATGGAACCCCCGATTCCCGCTCATAGAATCCCCAATTCCCCCTCAAGGGATCCCTAATCCTTCCTCTCATGGAACCCCCAATTCCCCCTCATGGAATCCCAGATATCCCCTCATGGAACCCCCGATCCTTCCCCTCATGGAACCCCCAATTCCCCCTCATGGAATCCCAGATATCCCCTCATGGAACCCCCGATTCCCGCTCATAGAATCCCCAATTCCCCCTCAAGGGATCCCTAATCCTTCTCCTCATGGAACCCCCAATTCCCCCTCATGGGATCACAAACTCCCTCATGGAATCCCCGATCCTTCCCCTCATGGAATCCCCAATTCCCCTCATGGAATCCCCAGTTCCACCTCAAGGGATCCCCGATCCTTCCCCTCATGGGATCCCTGATCCCCTCGTGAACTCCCCGATCCCCTTATGGGATCCTTCCCCTCATGGAATCCCCAATGTCCTCTCATGGGATCCTCGATATCCCCTCACGGAACCCCCGATCCCCTCATGGAGTCCCCGATCCCCTCAGGGGATTCTTCCCCTCACGGAATCCCCGATATCCCCTCACAGAATCCCCGATCCTTCCCCTCATGCAGCCCCCGGTCCCCCCTCACGGAACCCCCGATCCCCTCATGGAGCCGCCCCCGGTCCCCCCTCACGGACCCCCCGATCCCCTCATGGAATCCCCGATATCCCCTCACGGAACCCCCGATCCCCTCATGGAATCCCTGATATCCCCCTGATATCCCCTCACGGAACCCCCAATCCCCGATCCTTCCCCTCACGGAACCTCCGCTCCCCTCCATCCCCTCAGAGCCCACAACCCCACAGGACCCCAACGCGGCGGGACCCCCTCGGCCCTCACAGCCCCCAGAACCCCTCAGAGCCCTCAGGACCCCCGGGTTCCCCTCACAAGTTCCCGTTCGCCCTCACGATTTCCCCCTACCCGCGGCCCCGGCCGCCGCCAGCAGCAGCAGCAGCAGCGGGAGCGCCCCGGCACCCGCCATGATCAGCCGCGCGCACCCTCTCTGGCCCCGCCCCCGCGGAAAGCAGCCAATCAACGCCGGCAGAGCCTGCACGCTGGCCAATCAGAACGCGGAGGGCGGACACCCGCGCGCCCGCTGACCAATGAAGAGCGAGCGCACAGCCCGGCCAGCGCGAGACGTGGCCAGCGCTGGAGGAGGGGGCGGGGCCAAGGGGAAGCAGAGGCGTGGCTAAGACAAGACGGGGTGTGGTCAAGGGGCAGCGCATGCGCAATACTATGCGTACGCAAGTAAAATGGCGGCCGGCGCCCCGCCTGTGGTGCGAAAAGGCGGAGTCACGACCACGCCCTGGCGCATGCGCACTCTCGGCGTTGCCATAGCGACGGCTGAGGGGCGGTGGTCGCAGCTCTTTCCACCCGTTATCAATTGGGGTTTTTTAATATCGCCCTCGAAGGGAAGCGCGGATGGGGAAAGGGCTCCGCGCTCGGTGTCGCCGTTCCGGGACAAAACGGCGCGGGCGGCGCCGCCTTTCTCGCCTCCGACTTAAGGCCTCACGACAGCGCCACGCCCAGGCACAAAATGGCCGCCGCGGCGTGAGGGTGTGAGAGCGGGCGGGGCGGGAACTCTCGCGAGAGTTCGAGCTTATCGCCCTATCTCCTCGCGTGGGCGGCGCCGAGATCTCGCGAGAGCTCGTGCAGCCGGCGGGAGCATCATGGCGGCGGCATTGACGGCGGCGCGGCGGAGGGTGATGCGGGCCGCGCTACGGCCGCGCGCGGTGAGTGACCACTCAGAGCCCGGCCCGCCGCCTACCGGGCCCCGCTCCCGCCGCTTCCCGCCCGTTCCCGCCCGTTCCCGCCGCACCGGAGGCGTCTGATTGGCTGGCGCGCCGGCGGGGGCCGGGCGGCCGCCAGGAGAGGAGGGAGCTGGAAGGGGCGGGCCGGGCTCTGATTGGTTACCCTGGGGGGTGTGGCGCTGCTCCGCGAGTGCTGATTGGCTGGAATTTTCAGGGTGGGTGGGA